TAGATTGTTGCCTACAAATTAAATAAAAATCTATTTATATGCATTTAATATTTATAAAAAACAACAAGTGCTCCAATCGGGAGTGTCCGACTAGAGATATCTTGGAAATTTGCCTAGCTGCTGTTAGAGACATTCCAGCATTTCTCATTGCATATTTGGAGATATCGATCTGAGTGTGGAAAATTTCAGCTGACTTAGGCCTTGGCATGCCATGGACGACAAAATGCTGGATATGCCAACAGATATGCAGACAGATAAGACTACGGTCAACTCAGCTGGCCACGAATGCATTTACGCTATTCACAGGTTTATTTCAGCAAAAACATAATACCTTGAACTCTCATTTTCAATCTATATATAAAATAATATTTGAAAACACTAAAGAAATGATTTTTTTTTTTTTTTGCAGTAGTAGCATGTTTTGAATGTAGCAGAACATCTTCATCATCTATGCGAAATGCATTTACGTCAATTTCTTAGTTACTTTGGCTTAGTTAAATGCACTGCAATTATCTTTAATTTCATTTATTGCCCTGCAGTTTTCTAAGAGTTTGCATGTTGCGGCCAATTATTATTACTATTATTTTCATTTAATTTTACAATTTTCCTATCGACAACTGACAGGTGGCCCGGCTGGGCCCGGGTCTAAGCAGGGCAGGGGCAATGGACTTGTCTGCCAGCACATTTACTTTGTTTCGTGGTTTGTTTGCTTCACAGGCAGACCACATTTCGGTTTGGTTTTCATCTCTCTTTTGATGCTACTTTTTTCTAGCTACAAGCATCATCATCAGCGACTCGTTGCCTTTCAACTTTTGACCTAGAAAGTGCTTTACTTAGAGTTTTCTACATGTACTCTTAGACGTCATCAACAACATGCGGCGCAGCAGGCACGCATTTTGGTGCTGACATCACGGTTTTTAAGATGTACAGTGAAGCTTCGCTGTTGCAGACATATTTTGATTCATTTATTGAACGCATTTCGTAATTGAAATTATTAAAGTTTATAAATGTCAAACACAGATTAGATATTTTGAAGTGAACGAAAGAGTTAACTGTATAGAGGTGTATGCCTTAGCGAGGTCGTACTGTTCTTCTATTTTATGTTTCTATACGCGGGAATATCAGATTGCAACAGTAAATGTGGGCTCAGTTTAATTACCTTTTATTTTATGTGTTCCGAGCTTTTCTTTTGATATTAGCTTTTTTGAGGCAGTTTTTTGTCTTTGCTTATATTCATATGCTGCCGTATCAGATTCTAACTGTAAACGTGGGCTGTTGATTATTACACTTGCTCCCGAAGACAAAATAAGGTGTATCGGGTCTATGCAATTCTGTCTGTGTAAGCACAAGCTAATTCGCAAATCTAAAGAAATTTAAATACGTATATAGTCTGTAATTACTACTGCGCTATACATTGGTATAGACCACCATCTACTATCTCCACACATAAACATCATATTGTTTCACCCCTTAGGGGCGTGGCTGATATCATTTTAGTTACCTATTAGTTGTGATATTTATAGAACGAATTCCTAATACAATTTGTAGTTATCCTAGTATCTGTAAATCTTACAAGGTTATTTCGTTCGTTAATCTATTGTTGGGCTATAATAAATAGTTTTGCTTGCTTTATCTATACCGCGATAAGTACTTGATATAATAAATGCTTTTTGTTGACAGCTTTTAACAAGCTGTTGATTCGATAGCTATGCCAACAATTACTATGGTTTTGTTTGCCCAAATTCATAAGGCCGTCGATATGGTCAGCAATAATTGTACTCTCTAATTTTAAGCTAATTCACAACCATGCACGTTTTTGATTATTTGCTAAGAAAAACTATTGAATTTTATGCATATTCATTTGAAGCACATAAAGTGGCTTTACCTAAAATTGGTTTCACTTTCATTTGCCTTCGCGACAATTATTTATTATATTTTTCTCTATGATGTTTTTTTTTATATATGTAATTTATAAATAGCCTCACACGTTAGCTAAATGATCTCATTTAAATTTACATCTTTCCATTTACAATATGCAAAAAATCACACACACATACGCGCTAAAGGTCAAGAGGCTGTCCGCCGGCGCCTTATGAACTGTCTTCCAGATATTTACGACTGCAACGTACCGCAGAGCACCTACTACACACATATGTGTGTCTGTATCATGTACATACATACATATGTATGACAACCACGCCGCACAGCTTTTGGCAGAGCAAGTAGCGTGAACCAACCGAACGAGCCGAAAGTTGAAAGCCAACTGAGCGGGCACGGCAAAAAGTTGTATTGCAGAACCAGCTTCGCTCTGATAAAAAGAATCTTAAGTTATTTAAGCTTTATTGAGCTAAGCAACTTACGAGCCATTATATATAACTAGCTTCAAGTTGGTTACTATTTAGCTAGTCAACAACGAAAGCCTTAAAATTCTGAATTCCAAATTAAATTTAACGGTTGAAAAGCCAATTTAAGGGGTTCACTTAACCCATGTTAAGATTTGTGTTATGTTTATTTGAATTTGAGTATATGCTAATGCTAATCTTTGAGGAGCAAATTTAAATTTAACTGACTTCTACTTTTTCCTCATTCATTTTTTCATTATAAATAATATGTGCGCTAACAACGACACGAGTAATGAAAGATTTTACAATCAACTGAACAAACAGATCTCATACTCAATCGGCTATGTTAAACAATTACAAATTCGGATCAATCGCAGTTTTATGTTAACAAAAAAGCTGTTACATTTTTTAGTTTTGAATCACCTAACTGAAGTATTTCAAATATAAATCTATATAATAATATTTTAAATATTGTCTATAGCTTAAACGAATTTAAGGCTTAATATTTAATATTTTTCAGCTACTTAAAGCATTTAAAAGTTAAACGTTACTTTCGCACACGGCGCAGCACGAACTCGAGCAAATATTGAAGTTTGCCAGACGCGTTGATTCGCAATAATAACAAACTCATGCACTCAGCACCCACATAAACTCACCCACGCATATATGTACATACGTTTAAAAATACATATAAAGTAGCAAAAAAGTCCTGCGGAAGCCCCATTGAGGGAAAATCAGCGCTGACATCGGATCAAGGACGCCGACGCCACAGCCTCTGTCCAAAATCAATACTTACAATTAAAGTAACCAGTGAGCGCGTTCACTTGTATCCAATTTATAATTAACACAAACACTTTGCCACTAATTTAATTATTCTACTCTATCGATACAGCACTATAGTTGAATAGCTACCGATTTAGCAATGGGCGCTGAGGCCGTAAAAGCTCCGGCGCCAAATTTGATGCAACACAGCACTTCTCTTTCACATTGCCAAACGACTAATAAATATTTATGAAAGGCTTTCGAGAAATCGATATATTCGATAAGGAACAGCGATAGCCTCCACAACAACAAGCGATAGAAAAAAATCAATTTTTTGAATGGAAATTCATATTCAGATTTAAAAAAACTACTTTATAATTTTAAATGATTGTAGCTAAATCAATACCGAAGTTTTTACGTATGAAAATAAATATATTATCGGCAACCTTAATAAATAACTTAAATACGTAAATACAAACCCATATATACCGTTCCTTATATATTTATGAATTCAGACAAGCAAAAAAAAAAAAAAAAAAAAAAAAAAAAAAAAAAAAAAAAAAACTGTTGTTTCTTTGCAGAAAAAAAAAATGAAATATTAAAAATTTTATTAAAAAATTCCACACACAACAATTATGCTGAATTTCTTATCGATAGTTTTGCAACCCTGTAGCGCAGCCAACTTCACTCTTTCTCTTTTCAACCTCCATTGACGAGTGTTGGGTCGCTAATTTGTAAAATATTACAAAATGTACGTCAAATACCATTTATACAAATGAAACCATTTTTAAAATACTAATAAAATGTCTTACTCTCGGTTGCAGCACAATGGAGAACGACGCCGGTGAGAATGTTGATTTATACGTGCCCCGCAAATGGTGAGTATTGAACACGTGTTTCCACGACCAACAGCGCAGCAATTGCAGCCGATATTTTGGCAATTGGATAATTTTTTGTGTTGTTGCAGCTCGGCATCAAACAGAATCATCCACGCTAAGGATCACGCCTCTGTGCAACTAAGCATTGTTGTTGTGGATCCCGAAACCGGCCGCCAAACCGACGGAACCAAAACTTATGCTATTTGCGGAGAAATCCGTCGCATGGGCGAGTCCGACGATTGCATTGTGCGTCTGGCCAAGAAGGATGGTCTCATTACCAAGTAAGTTGTTGCTGTTTAATACGTCCGTATAGCCAATTCAATAACTGGTTTCTTTTTATCTTGCAGGAACTTCTAAATAAATTGTATGCAAGATGAATTGGTAATAAAAAGTGAGAATTCCCTTTGTATTTAACGTAAGATTCACAAAATTGTGTTTTGTTTTGAGCGGGATGAACACTGGCATGTGTGCTGGCTTGTTTAAATAATTTGGAATTGTGCTTCAAATTTACGAATCACAATAAACAACGAATGGATTTTAAGTGAAATGAATTCATATTTGTATTATTGTTAGTGAATTGTTGTTATTGAGGCTAAGCCACTGAGGAGTATCGCCAATTATTTATCCTGGATCTGTTTTCTATGATTATCTTATCAGACAGTACTCGGTACTTGTCAAGCGACAAGGTACGATATTACTTGCCGACGGGAATCTTGGAAATCGATTTTGTTTTATTTTCCTTTTAACAATAAGTTAGGTAAGACGGTATTCGAAGTGGATCGACATCACCGAAATATAGTTATTTACATCAATTACTAGTATAATTTTTGGGCCGACGGAAATTTGGAAAACTAGATATGCAAACGCTTATTTCGTTTGTATTTGGCGCCACAGTAAAGCGATAATTTTATCGCTTAGTGGTGTATATGTAGCGTTGCCACTTGTTCAAAATATCCCACATTTTTCAGTGCTGGAAAGATGCACAAAATAGCGGCAGCGCACGTGTTTCTATAAACGTTTCATTCTTAACTCTGCCCCTCAGTGAAGCACACAAGCCGAGAGGTTGCATTTATATTTTTACAAATATACAAAAAGAACTTTCAAGAAAATGGTATGTGTGTGAATCTTAATATTAATTAGAACATGTTTCACTAATGCCAACTTCAATTTTCTACAGACCGAAGAGGTGAACCCGAAAGCATTCCCCTTGGCCGATGCCCAGTTGACGGCCAAGATTATGAATTTGTTGCAACAGGCGCTCAACTATAATCAGTTGAGAAAAGGAGCTAACGAGGCCACCAAGACATTGAATCGTGGTCTGGCTGATATTGTGGTGCTGGCTGGTGATACAGAGCCAATTGAGATTCTGTTGCATCTGCCGCTGCTGTGTGAGGACAAGAATGTGCCGTATGTGTTTGTGCGCTCCAAGCAGGCATTGGGCCGTGCCTGTGGTGTTTCTCGTCCCATTGTGGCCTGCTCTGTGACCACCAACGAGGGCAGTCAGCTGAAATCACAGATTACATCCATACAGCAAGAAATAGAAAGGCTGTTAGTTTAAGTTAAAAGATGATTCTTAAAATGCGTACAAATATATAAACTGTATCAATAATAAAGGAAACATATTTTTAAAAACAGTATTTTTTAATATTGACAAAATTGAAAAAATTCCATGCGATAGTTGAGCGCATGGTGTGCTCTACAACCATTTAGCAACACTGGTCAAACAGCTGTTGCAAAATGTCAAAAAGTTCGCCGTGTGGAATTTGGCAATTTGCATTGAAATAATTTGTTGGTCAAGTTTAACGACGAACACACAAATAATAACAATGCCTAACAATTCGGTTTACATAAGGAAACATTTAATTCAATGCAAGTGACAAAAAGCATACAAAAGCAAAAAACATAAAGCACGCAACGCCAACAACAACAAATATAAGAGGAGCAGCGCACTAATTCAACGTCTGTTGGTAACAGACGGCGGCGGCTCAGTTCAAAAAACAAGGATTGCAACATGAAGTTACTTGGCAAATATGTAGACAAGGGCATGCAGGGGTAAGTGCTGCTGATATTTATATGCGTATATGTAAAAAAAAGCTTGTAATGTCATTCCACAATGCAGTAATGTAACTCTCGTGCCCGAAGAGCCGGAGGACATGTGGCACGCCTACAATCTGATTGCTGAGGGTGATAGCGTCCGTAGCACCACCATACGAAAGGTCCAGAATGAAACGGCCACCGGGTCATCCACCAGCAGTCGAGTACGCACCACACTGACCATTGCCGTGGAGAGCATCGACTTTGACACGCAGGCCTGTGTGCTGCGTCTGAAGGGTCGCAACATCGAAGAGAACCAGTATGTTAAAATGGGCGCGTATCATACCCTCGATCTGGAACTGAATCGTAAATTTGAGCTGCGTAAACCAGAGTGGGATACAATCGCTCTTGAGCGGATTGATATGGCCTGCGATCCCACCCAATCGGCTGATGTTGCGGCGGTTGTTATGCAGGAGGGATTGGCCCATGTCTGCCTCATCACGGCCAGCATGACACTGGTGCGAAGCAAAATCGAAGTGTCCATTCCGCGTAAGCGCAAGGGCAATGTGCAGCAGCACGAAAAGGGCCTGGCCAAGTTCTACGAACAAGTCATGCAGAGTATATTACGCCACGTCAACTTCGAAATAGTCAAGTGTGTACTCATTGCGTCTCCGGGCTTTGTGCGAGACCAGTTCTACGACTATATGTTCCAGCAGGCGGTCAAAATGGACTACAAAGTGCTGTTGGATAACAAAAGCAGATTCATGCTAGTCCATGCCTCCTCCGGGTTTAAGCATTCGCTCAAAGGTGCGTAAGTCATCGAACTATTGAAATTTGGATAGGTAGTAATACCTATTTTCACAGAGGTTCTACAGGATCCCGCTGTGATAGCTAAAATGTCTGACACAAAAGCCTTGGGTGAGGTTAAGGCTTTAGAGACCTTCTACATGATGCTACAATGTGAGCCAACCAAGGCTTTCTATGGCAAAAAGCATGTGCTGCGTGCTGCAGAGGCGCAAGCTATTGAAACCTTGCTAATTTCCGACAATCTATTCAGGTGAGTTCAATGAGACTACATTATAATTGCCAAGTTGTACTACAATTCTTATTCGACTCTATATATTCAATAAAACTTGTCAGGTATGTATATAGGGATCGGCAGTCTGCTTTCTTGTGCACTTAATCTTTGGTAATTCGTGCCCTTTCGTCATCACATATTCGACGCCCTGTCTGTAATTTTCCCAAAAAAAAAAAAAAAAAACACCTTAGATCACATTGTATCCGCTGCTATTCACTGAAGTAAGACGGCTTTACATTATCAGCTGATAAGCCCACAGCGCCAAAACTTTAACTTTAACCAAACTGCCGCCATGTTCACAGGCAATTTAGTTTATAGCATAAATCTTCATTATTCATTATAGTCCATACGATGCACTACAATGACTTTTATAAGCACTTAATGCTTTTAGTTTAAAAGAAGGTTTATGTAATATAAAAGAATATCTTCTTTGGTAAAGCTAATCCTTACTTTAGCGCATAAAGGGGTCTATTCATTATTTGGTCATTGATCTGATGAACCGTCATAGAACGCTGATTTTTATACTCTGAACCCATTGAAAATGTGAAATCAGGGTATAATGGTTTTGTGAAAAGTATGTAACAGGCAGAAGGAAKCATCGCAGACCCCATAAAGTATATATATTCTTGATGAGGACGACGAGCTGAGTCGATATAGCCCTGTCCGTCTGTCCGTCCGTCCGTCCGTATGAGCAAAAGAATCTCAGAAGATATAAGAGCTAGAGAGCTGAAATTTGGCATGCATACTCGTGTATACCATAGGCAGTAAAAGTTTATCATATTTTTTCGATAACTCAGCCGGTAACTTTTTTATCGAGAATAATCGAAAAATCGGCTTTGTTTTTTCAGCCTAATTTGAACTTTTTTAGCCCTGTGTTGTATATAAAGTTAATGGATACAAAGATTGTGTAATTTACAGATTTTAGATACCACGCCCCCTTTGCCCCCTATTTGTAAAAAACGTACTAGAGTACTAGAGACTTTTGCATGTACATACATATGTTTCATTAAGATTGTAAGTCTACAAAATAAATTATTCAACAAATAAATTCTCATAATATTGCCCAAGCGCAGTCGCTGCTAACTGCGCAGTCAGCAGAGCGCGTGATATACGTGCGTGTGTATGCGTGTGTGCATAAAAGAAGTGCAGAATGAGTAGAATATCAGCTTCGAAGGTTCAGGGTATTTCCCAGTCGAGCAGTCTCGACTGGAGCCTTCTTGTTAGCTCTAATGAAGTATTCATGAACACACGCTAAAAATACAACAAAATCATTCATAGTATTTGAGGTAGGATTTAGATGAGCTCGGTGAATATATTATATATCGCAATATTTATAGTTGTTATTCATATATTCACTTTGATGATTAGTTATAGTACTGACATCTGATGAATCATATCAGTTAGAGAATCTATATGACAGCATATATAGTGATCGATAATAATAAACTGATGGTCGAATATACCTTGATCAAATATGCTATCTTTTGTGAAGGTCATTTTCGTATTTCGAATTAGATTAATCCTAAATCAAATCATCTTCATCACGTTCATTCGATCGATTCATCACTGATCTTAAATGTTGTTATCCATTTCCGTCTGGCTTTTATTTAGAAAATATCTTACTTAAATAGTGGGAATTCATATATAATTGTTTTTATCGTGATCATGTTGACTGTGTTCGATTCACCTTATAGCCTGAACCCATTTAACATGGGAGATCATTTAGTTACAACTAACTTATTCATTTGAGCTCTTTGATAAAAAATGTTCTTTAATCAATTTGTGTACATTATTATTAAATTCTAAAGCTAAGCAGTGAGCTTACATTTTGTAGAGCATATAATTTGTTGTCTCTTCGCCAAGATCTCGAGCGCTTCCTAATGCTTCAGTTGGCACACAATTTGTGTGCACAATTTAAGCCATTTAAAGAGAGCACGTCCGAAAACGCTAATTTAATGGGCCACCCGCCACGCCCCTAGACAGTCGCCCCTTGGCTGTGACATGCTCATGATCAAGGTTGGACGCCCGTAGAGTCGTCGCCATTTTTAGCTTCTTAATTTGTGTTTTTTTTTTTTTCGCTTTTGTTTTGTTTACGTTTTGGTTGAATTCGAATTTGTATCTGAAGCTCGCGTATCTGTAGCTGCGTGTATAAAGCTGTATCTGTTCTGTGTCTGTATAGACGCATACTCATAGTTGTATCTGTATCTGAACAGTGGACGCTGCCATAGCCCGTTTACATTTTTAATGAGCCGTTGAAATTCCATTTAAAAGGTAAAACGATTTGCGTGGCATGCAATAAAATGATAAATGTTATTGCACATTTGATTTACTTAGAACTAGCCTAAAGGTCTATACGAAAAATGCGTGTATACAATGTTTAATATTAAATTTAGCACGTTTAATCAGTCCTTAAATTATTGTAGTTCAGCTCTCAAGCTCCACCTCCCATGCGATTCCTCCCTTCAGTGCTATCAGAAGCTATTCAAATCGTAAGTCAGCAACGTTGTTCGCTTTACTTGTGCTATATCTCGACCTTTCTGATTGCTGTTGATAACGAATGAAAGAACAGAGAAGTGATATAATTAAAGAGTGAAACCTTGATAACTTTATAATTTATGATTCGTTTTACCTCGTTCTGTTCCACTGTAGTTGCTGTTGTTGCTTCTGCTGCTGYTGCTCGTTCCACAGATTCTTCTGCCGTTTCTGCTGTGCCAATTTATCATTCGCCTCCCAGTGTTGTTGTTGTCGACTTGTTTCACAGCTCGCCGCCTGTTCACTTAGCAGCCGCTTGTTGTAATCGTCCAGCGTCTCGCGTAACGGCAATAGACGACTCGGACTCCGACCAGGGGTCAGACTGGGACTGTGACGAAAGCAGGGCTCTGGTAGGCGAGGTTTCTTATCGCATTTATCGGGGCACAGCTGCTCTTGCAGCAGCGGATAGCCCAGCTCTGAGATGGTATAGTCGGGTTGCTTCGTGAGCATATTTCTTGCGTATATTCTATAGGAACTGCAATTGAAAGGGAATCATCAAATGTCACTAATAAATTAATGTAAACATAACTAAAATATCGGCTCTAATTGTCTATTAAATATGGCTATACTTCTGCTGATTTCATTTCATATGTTTATTGGCTAGTAGGCTCGTTTATTAGCCCAACTTACGGCTCTCACTTATCTGTCTTTAGGAACCAGAAATTGATTATAAGCAGTAAATTCTTTTCATATCTATTTCATATCATATCTGTCTAATTCTAAAATATTAAGTATTGATTCAACTTTATTGTCTCTATTACACATTTTAATTATTATTATTTTTTTTTTATAATTAAATTTTAAATAACAATAACCAAAAAAAGGTATGTAATTTATGATACTCAAAATATAAATTAATAAAATAAACAAATATTTAGAATAAAATTTGTTTTAAATATTTTGTTATTCCTTTTGTTTTTTTAAATTTATATTTTGAGTATCATTAATTATGTTGTTGTATTTGGTTTTATTTCCATAAAAAATACGCAAATTAAAAAATTTCGTATTTTAATTCATTTATATATATTTTGTATATTTTTAGTATAATAAATTAAAGAATTTTGTTTTATTATTTTATTTGCATAAAAAACATGCAAATCGTTTTAGAAATTGACGTTTCAATTTCACTTAAAATACTAATTTTAATGATGTGTATATTTAAATTATATGAATATCTTGAGTCTCCTCTAAATTATAATAAATGCTCGTGTGGAATGGTTTATAGAACATATACTAAAGTCTGGCCTCAAGTTCTAAATATTTCTTGATTTGCCGCTGTCTCCCTTTAGTTGACCCGTCAAGAACACAAATACAGTTTCTGTTCCAGTTCTAGTTTTTGTTTTTGTTTTGTTATTTCTCATTGTAGCTCTGCTTTAGAATTTAATTTATTTTCTTGTATGTATGTATTTTGTTTGTCTTTCACACGCGTATCAAGTGTGCCAAGCTCCGCTCAATACGCAACTGAGATCGTATCCGTTTGCTCATATTCAGCATATACATTTCTATATAAGCCTAAATGGGTATATATTTATATATTTATTGCTGCTCGATTGGCAGTGTCGGAAATCTTTGTTTATAGAGCAGTTTCAATTTCCAGATTTACACAGGCCCTAATAGCCATGTGAGTTTAGTTGTACTGCTTCTGTATCTGTATCTTTTCATTGTGCAAGTAACTGTATCTATTTCTGCATCGTGTATCTGAATCTTTGCATTGTGTATGCAAGCGTAACTGTATCTGTAGCCGTCTATGATATATTTATGTAGCTGTGTTTGTGTACAGTGAACGCTAACAGAAGGGAAGGAAGTTCGCATCTACTACAGACTAAACTCATCGAATACGGGTTTCCTATGACATTTAAATGCAGCAAGTAGCAGGCGTAGCTGTTCGTTCCGAAGAGATTCTACTGTATCTATTTCTGCATTTGTATCTCCACTTTATTTGCGTGCTGTCTGTTCCATTTCTCTACGTCGCCTGCTAACTTGCGCTAATTATTAGCACGTATGTGGGCGATTAAGGCAACCTCTGTATAGATATGCATCTGTATACATATATGTATATATATACATCTATATAAGTCGCTCCGTCTGTGGCTTTAAGCCATTGCCAAGTTTGTAGCTCTTAGCTGCTAAACACTTTTTGTTTATTTTGCTTGGGTTCTGGAATTCTATTTCGTATTTATTGTTTGATTGGGCCACTTGGCTTCCACATGCCCCAATATTCTGCACTGCAATATGATCCACTTGCATCAAGTCTTTGACTGCCTGCAGCCACCCCCCGCCACTCTGTTTTCATCGTCCGGCTTTTGTCTTCCATTTGCTCTTCTTCTGCTGCTTTATGGTTATTTTTCGCTTTATCATTCACATATTTTCTTGTCGCAACCCGTTTTTCTAGTCTCTGGTCTTAGGGCCGTCTTCTGTGCAACACGCTTCATGCAACGTTCAACGTGCCCCTCTTTTTAGCGGCAGCTGTTGTTGCTGCCTTTTGTTGGCTCTGCATAAATATTGACTCGATATATAATTGTTTATTTTTGCTTTAGTTTTTTAAATTTTATTTTGGGCACGCGCTGCTGGGACATTTCGTAAGTTGGTTTCTGTTTTGGTTTTATCTTTTTATAATCCATTTTCATTTGGAATTGTGCAACAAATGAAAGGGCCCACCTTTGAATCACACTCAGCATACATATGTAGGTCTAATATAATTGAAGTGTATACACAACGGTTGCACTTAGGTTTACAGAGTATCTGCTGTTTGTCAGCTCGAGGCTAACTTTTATGTGTTCCTCTCTTTGAATTCATCCGCAGCCGATTTGTATTCGGGTTAAGTTGACGTGGTGACATATAAAAAAAGCATTGATTGATCAATGTGAGTTTGAATGACGCTCCATAAAATACGAGTGAATTGATTAGAGATATGTACGAAATATATAGGCCCTGTTCCAAACACGTAAAGTGAGTTTTGATGTGATTTGCTCGATTTAGTAAGTTTTTTTTTGCATTTAGCCAAACAAATTTAAACCAGTTTGGGATTTGCAAAAATTAAAGTCTCCGGTTAGATCGTTTATAGGAAAACTCCCAAACTTTAATTTTGAAAATTTATTCATTTCTAAACCTTTCTCTTTGAATTCGTCTCTTTCAATTTCTTTCTACCCTGATAACGATCAAATAGTCTTTTGGGTATTTGGTGGAATATCTAACAGTTTGTGGATCTTATTCGCTTTGTTTGTCATAGCTGTAGACAAGTTCTTGATTTGATTTCGTTGTCATAGAAAGTTCATATTCATTTAGAGACTAAACGACATATGATACAGTTAATTATGCACTTTCAATCCCCCGCGGCGCGTCTTGAGGCCAGCTACATTGGCCTTTTGCTGTCCCTTTCTGCAGTGGCCTCCGCCCCCGGCTGCCCCTTGCTGCACGCTCATGGCTCTTTCACCTACGTTCCGTTAATTCCATTATAACAATTGATTTCATTGTGCAATCATTGTCACGCAGCAACAACAATAGCAACATTGGATTTAATTCACTGCGGCCAACAGATGATGAGTAAAACAGTTACTCAGGTATCTCACAGATACGCCGATCAATTTGTTGCAGCTGCGTGGCCAGCGCTGACTCAAGCCGTGAATTCCGCAAGAGAAAACCCAAAACTTGATTTCGACTTCTTTCTTCTTCGTTCATTTTATAGACTTTTGCACTTGACATGCACAAACCGCGAAAGCAATGACAAACAAATTAACTTTCACTTTGGCCTGCACGCACCTTTTGCTTTCTGTTTGTTGTTGTTGTTATTTTCTTGTGCTTCTCTTAGCACCAATTTCTTCTTTCGTGGCAAACGCGACGCGCTTTTCTTTTGACTCGATGCGGCTCGGTTCTTTTCCCCCTATTCTTCTTCTCGTTTCGTCCGCCAACGTGCGCGTCGCTAGAAAGCCGCTTCTCAACTAATTCTACACGAACAGACTCACGCTCGCTCAAGCTCTCTTCAAATACCCTATAATAAAAGCTCCTAATGGGTATATCAATTTTGAGGGATTCTCTTTTCAGTTGTATACATAGACGCATTTGTGTGTAATATAAATTATTAGTAGTCTTATGATAAATATCGATAATTTATTTATTATATTATGTTTGTTATATTTTCATGATCTGTCTAAATAGATTGTGCATATGAATTGTTTGTAGGGTATTCATAAGCAATCATTCAAATGTCATGTATTCATAGTCAGTCTTTGACTGCTCTCCGGCTGCTACCAGTGGTGCCAGATTTTCAGAGTCACCGTAAGCTAGATTGAAGAAAGAAATAAGCTAGAATAAGCTAAAATTAAAAAAAAAATAAAACTTTAACATAAGCTAACTAAAAAATAAAAAAAATAAAAAAAATAAAAACAATTGATGTATACTTTTTAATAGATATTTGAATTTTATTAATATATTTAAATTTATATTAACGAAATTATATCATCAATTTCATTATTTGCTTCCTCATATTTCTCAGATGTTTTAATTAATGATAAGTACCTCGCAGGTACTTTATAATTAAAGCAACATTTGCCATGACGGCGTAATCCATATCTGTAAAGTTAAAAAGAATATACACTAAATTACTAATCATTTCATAAACAAACCTTATACGTAATATTGCGTTTAAACCTTTAACACTCAATTGATTTCGCAATTTAGTCTTAACTATATATATAACTATATAAAAGGTATTTTGTTNCACTTTGCGTAGCCACTCCTTAAAGTCAGGGCACTTTGTCCACGAATCGCGAAAATTTTGTTTGTAGGTAACTTTCGGCATTTTTTCAAATGTGAGCAAACGTTTGAGAATTTGCAACAAGTGTGACCGAAAGTTATCAGCGAAAATTACCATACATGTATACTCAAAATGGAACTATCAAAAAAAGTTATTATCGATTTCTCGATCAAAATGAACAAAAATTGTTTTGTACTACATTTTTGCAAGCCAAAATAGGCCAAATTATGTTTGAAATAAGCTAGATCTCAAGCTATAAGATTTTCATTAATTTTCCAAGCTTTTTATTTCAAAATATGCTAAATCTAGCTTAAAATAAGCTAAAATGGCAACACTGGCTGCTACACGTGCTGTGGAACGTATTGCCACGTATTTGTGAATAACATCCACAGACAGACCCGCTGAAAGAGAGGCAGAGAGAGAGAGGTTAAGTGAAAGAGCTCGATCGTCACGATACTCTGGTCACTCTCTCTCTCTCTCTCGCGCTCTTGAAACACAATCAAGCCGCTTTTCGTGCCTTCAATAAAAAATGATAATTGATATTTTACCTGTGCTTAATTTTTATTTTTGCATACCTTCGTTTTCGTTTTTGTTATTTCTCATTTAATGGGAAGGCGCAGTATTTTTTTGCGAATTTTATCTTTGAAGTATTAACATTTGCTAAGGTTTTTGAACCGCATGCCGGCATTTTGAATTCTCATTTGTTTCTAGAGTTGTTAATTTGATTTGACTCGACAACTTGCATTTTCATCGCAGCTCGTCCATAGACTATAACTGTAACCTCTGTGTCACACCTGCGATCCCACAAATTCCAGCTAAAGCTCAACAAGCTATGCATTATGCATGGATATAGATATATGTATCCATATGTATGTGTATCTGTATATAGATAATTGTATTAGTACACTATGTGTGCACCCAACAAATGAATTTTTCGCTCATGATTAAGCGTTTTGCTTCGCATCGAATTGTGGATGTGCAATATTCACGTACTTCGAATCGAAATAGATATTAATTGCCTGTACACTCAATATGGCAAATGCGGCTTCAGGGTTTCATGTGATACATGCAATACTTCGTGTAGGTATTTCTTTATCTCTCTATTTTGCATGTTTCGGATGATAGCACTTGTAACTGGTCCTAACAAATAATTGAACATTGTAATTTTGTACTTCTTATGCATTTGGCTTTTCCTTTGTAAAAGTTACTACTGCGCTTATTTTTCTTGTATATTCCGAGCGATATGGGAATCAAGGGATGTACATAAGTTATATACAGTAGAATCAGGTTAAAACGACTCCGCTGTACGGTTATTGCGACGAAAATTCTGGTCCTCAGACAAATTTATATGAGCAAACTTAGACAGTTTTGTGTCTTCTAGGATTAACGACGGTCCTTCTACTGTAGTAAGTTTCTGGGCTATATAGTTTGAATATAATTATTATTATTATTAAACTAATAATATTGTAGGAATATAGGATTAATATTGAATCCCATTATATTTTGAGCGTTCGGCAATTGGTTACACTAAACTTCTTAATTGTTTTTCTTATCTTCTATTTCTACACTATATAAAGTCATATAATTTTCAGGCCATGGGTTTCTTTTTACTATTAACATTTTGAGGACTTCATGTGTTTTTTAAAAGATTTTTTATTGCCTTTGTTGTATATATGTATACTTGAACTATTCTACTCAAATTTAAATTAAAGTCCTTTTCGCCTTTTTTTAGATGCCAAGACGTAAATCTCAGGAAAGAATATGTTAACTTGGTTGAATCAGTGCGAGATGCCGGTGGCGAGGTGAAGATATTCTCCAGTATGCATATATCGGGCGAACGTAAGTATTGCATATGACAGTACAGTGAATACTCGAGAAGATTATAAATTAGAATTTACATTTATCAATTGAAGTTATTTCTAAATTCTATTTATAAATTATGCATGTATGTACATAAACATTTTAATATTAATATTAATCTCTAATTTATTTTTTTTTTTTTTTTACAAAAAACGTTCATTGTATCTGATTCTGCATTAAGCCAGCTAACGAATTCACTCGACTATTCTCTAGAGAAGGCAAGCAAAATGTCTATGGCTCATGCTTTCTTGGTCTGGTATAGAAGTTTCAGGGTACAGGCCTCCCCCTGTCTAATGACCTCGTTAAGCATTCTATTTTTACATTCCGTGCAGTGCATATGCATATGTTCGCACATAAATACAGATACATATATAGATACATATACATATATGAATGTATATATTCAAATTTGTTTTTCTTGAAGGAATCTCCCGCGTTGCAGAATTTAGTTTATATTGGACTTTAGCCCGAGGCTTTTCATCTATTTTTTTAAATTTTTATTTTGCTCGGGGACACTTTCAATTTCATGTTGATTTTAAATTTAACTTGACGGTAATTAAAATTGCATTTTACATGTCTTCGAAATATTTTCGGGTCGCTTTAAATAGCAATTTGTTGGCTGCTTGGTAAATGACTCACGTCTTGTCTATTCTTCTTCTTTTTCTTATTTCGCTCTTATCAATTGTTTGCGACTTGGCAACGTTTTGCCAATTTATATACCCTGTAGACTAAAAAGTTGGCTGTATAAGTGGTGTACAATGTAGAAGAGAAGGCAAATAGAATACGAATGTACTCGTTAAGACAGAGATAGAATGGAACGCATGATGAATGAATTCATAATTAAAAGAGTATACTGAAAAATAACACAGAAGTGAAGTATTTTTTTTATGTTCATTAATATAATTCTGGAGAGAGTTTCATCATTTTTGTAGGTGGCATTACCTAGATGAAAAAATTGACAAAAAATTGATTCATAAATAGCTTAGTTTCTTTTTTTATTTATTAAAGATAAGATATGCTATAATATAGTATAATATAATTACAAATATATAAGTCAAATTGTATATTTTATAATTACATATTTGAAGTTATCAAGGCTCTGTCAAGTCTTCAATTTTTAACATTATCTACCAATTCGATTAATGTTGATTATTTAACAGAAATGTTATTTAACAGAACTTGTATTAAGGCATGTATGAAATGTATTTGAATAGGCCAATGAACAAATATCCAAAATCGAAAACATGTAATATAAATAGAGATGATCCTCTTAATAAACTTTAAAGGAATACTTTAAAGTTAGATAAACTTTAATGGAATACTTTAAAAATTATTAAGAGGATCGTCTCTATTTCATAATCGGCAATTCTAGCTCATTATATTCGGTTTAAGCGTACTTGGGCGGGTGTTGCTCGTAAATGGGTCGACGCTGAGTCTAAAATAGAACCAGAATTCTTTTCCGCTATTGTAGTACGCTTTATAGCTCGATAGAGCTTGTGAAATGATTTTGCATATCTGGTCCGTTTTTCAGCTCCCCACTCGAACATTTCCACAGCGTTTCATTTAACTCGTTATCGCTGGCACCGCCTCCTCAAGTACTTGTTGCTTCGCTGCCAAGAGAATGCTTTAATCAGCTCGCAATTGCTTTTATATAAACATTGTAGAACAAGTGTAAACAAAAACAAAAACCTCGAGTACTTGATTTGAATTGTGTGCAGATGAAACAAGCCCACAATTTCCATTATTGAGCAGCAATGGATACGAACTGAAAAGCAACCCGAGCAGAACCTATGCTAAACTCTAGAACGTTGAGCACTTTGCATTGCTCATCGATGATAGACGTGCAGGGTGTATTTAGTCCAGATTATGTGATGACAGATGCTGATTTATCGACCCCATAAAGTCCAAACCTTTCTTGTTACTGACGATGAGTTAATCTGATGTTTGGATCGGTTCTCATAAAAAATATAATAGTATTATGCCGTGCTGGGTTCCGGTTATATGCTACTCATACGTACTGCTAGATATATAATCATTTACATATTGTAAAATTGTAAAAGGTAAATTGTACATGGAATATCCATCATGTTGAATGTTAAGTTCAAAAGTGAGTCACTGTTCTAGAAGCGGGCAGCCTTGAATATGTCAGTTGCAACTCCTACGCCCGGTGCATAACCTAAGAGAACATGTTAACTGGTTTGCTTGGACTGAGCACTGGCATTGATTCCGCTTACAGCTTGGCCAAAAGCTGTGGGAAATTCACTTCAACCTAGAATTTCAATCCAAGTTCTTTAGTTAGCTTAAAGTTTCAGCATATGCAGCGGATGTATAAATTGCGCAATTAACATGATTTGGTTCTCAGCTAGTTCATTTCTGGGCTACATTTTCAAAACATTAATTCTTCTACTGTTTATATTAAAAGTTTATTATATCCGTTTAAGGACTAGTTACTTATATGTAGATCAGTTAATGTCAGAATGATTCCCCACATGCTGCTCTATTTTCTAATGATATACGCATTAGTAATTTCCCGTTCAAAACTTGTTATTTATAGTTTTTCAGTTTCTTTTTCAAATCAAATTTACTTCTCTCTGGGATTTCTTTTTAAGATTCTTTCCATTCACATTTCATTTTCGACAATGATATTCGTGGTTAATTAATAACCTTAATTGTCTTTTCAGAACTCTCTCAATTAACGGGCATTGCGGCTATTTTACGTTTTCCCATGCCGGAACTGGAAGATAGCGATGACGATGACGATGAAGACGGKGCAGCGGGCGGCGACAACAGCGATAGCGATTGAGAAATATGTATCCTAAGGATCCTGTAGCATTTTTCTATTTAGACGGTTTATTTTACATACTCGAGAAAAAGGGCGACGAACGCATATTCAAAAAGGCAAAAACGAAACATAATAAATATAAATATATATAGCGTAATAGGTACTACTTATGACAGACTTGGACTGTGTCAGGGCATATACAATATACGAGTACTATATATACATATACAAATATTTAGGTTAAACGATGCAAGCGACAAATTGTTAGTTAAAATAAAAAAAAAAAAAAAATTAGGTTTTCTATAGCCAAGCAATTAGTATGGTTTGGCATCTATATAATTAACAAAAATCTTAGAAATCTTATAAAAAATTCAAGTAACCCGTGCTCTAGTTCTTTTTCTATTTATAACACATGTTCTAATGCTTTACCGCTGTTTTTCTTGTTATACTGTATTTAATAATTATACAATATTAGTTTTTATATATTATGCTCATGTGTTCTTTCTACTCCTGCTATGTCTTACAATCAATTAATGCAAGATCTTATTGTTCCAAAATTTTGTTTAAGCTTAAAAAATAAACCGATAAACTGTGCAACAATTTTGATTTAATACCATGTTATTAATTTTAATACTTAAAGTTCAATGTTAGCAAAACATGGTTTTTGCCAACTTAACAGCTGCATTCGCCGTTTGCAGATGACCTTGCAGTTACTTAACATTCTTTTCCTCGGATATCCGTTAGATAGTCACTTTTAATTTGTTGTCTGCCTGATGCTGTTTTGGCTTGTGTGCTTCTTGGGTTTATGCAAAGGAAAACATAATAATACTCCGATATATTGCATTGACTCCCTTCAATAGTTCCATGTCTTCACAAATATCATCATATCATGAGATATTTTCCGAAACGGCTAATTGCATACCCTGTCATTGGTCAGATGAGTTACAATATAAACAATTTTAACTATTAGAAGTTGGTATTTTACTTCAGCTGTGTGAAGGCCTTTTGAGTCTGCTGTTGAATGTTAATTGTGACGCAATTCCACATATTTAATAATTTCTTGATATTACTCTAGTCCTTCAAATATCCATATTGCAGTTGAACTCGAGATTTGTGGACTATTAAATGATTGATTAACAGTCACGGCCCAAAGCTATGCATTTCTATATATCAATGAGGACTCGACATTTTGATGCGTTTATATATTGGTTTTTATTGTTGTTGGGCATAGACTAATTCTAAGACACAGGTTGTGGAATAGCGCAAGGCGTGGTCTTTCACTTGGCGCCCAGTTGCGAGGCTGCAGCAGCAGCAGCGGCGGCTGCTTTCTTTGCCTCCCGCTTAGCTGATTTTTTGGCTTCTTTTGTATCTTTGTCTATGTTTCGTCGCTTCTTACGAAGCAGCCATTCCTCCTTTTCTTTGCTCTGCTTTTCGCGAATCAGTTTGCGGAACAGATTGCGATGACGTGGCTTGACCATGCGCGCCTGCAGACGATGCTCATCAACTTCGGCCTTGTGCAGCTGCCTTTTGTTCACCTTGTGCACCTTGCCCGACTGCACAGACATTTTCTTCTTCTACAAGAAATTAAGAATTGTTATGTATGCATATAACATATATTGTATATTCCGTGGACGGACCTCTTCCTGCAGTCGCTTTGTTTTCTCATCCAGCTCTTCTTCCTCTTCATCGCTTTCCTGCTCACCATCGAAATCATCATCAGCGTCCTCTTCATCCTCGTTGACACCGTCTGGACCGCCATACTTTTTGTACTCGGCTGTTTCCTGTTGATAGGCGCGCTGCAGCTGTGCATCTAGCAGCTCCTGATCCACAGTATCATCTTCATTCTGTGCAGCTTCTTCCTCCTCCGACTCATCATCGCTTTGAGCTGTCGAAAGGAAAGACATAGGGGTTCAATAAAACAGTGTTCATATTAAGAATTTCTAGTATACCTACCGTGCGTTTCAATCAGCGAGGGATCATGAAGAGCTTTCTCTTCGGGGGGTACATACGTATCCCGTTTGGCATCGACAAATGGCGATAGATGCGGCGGCAGCTCCTCGCCCAGGAAGTATTTGTTGGTGGGCAGCAGCTGTCGCTGATTCACGCAGTCAAAGACCCACTGGGGCTGAATATAGTCCCTCGATATATACTGGGTACTTAGGCTAGGTCTGTCAACAATCTGATGCGTGATGGTCTCATCACTCTCGTCGTATGTGGAGCCTGAGAACACGGACGAGTCCCAGGAAACTTTGCCTCCAAAAGAGCGAATGATGATGACCAAAGGCTCGCGAGGGACCTCACGATTTATAAAGAACTTTAATCCCTTGAAGAGATTGCGTAGACGGGCTATTTCCTGCGCTTCCTGTTTCATTTTGATAATGCGTTTCGAGTCGCCATCCTGTTCTAGAAGCTCCATATCAATATCAGGTTCCTCCTCGTCCTCCTGCACCTTGTCTGTACGCAACAGCTCAAAGTTCAGAGCAGCAATACGCTCCGACACAAAGCTCGTCTCATCTTTCAATGTGTCCTCGTTATCTTGCAGCATGCTAGAGGGAAATTGTGGTGGATACGCCATATTGAGACCGTGGTACAAGCGGTAGTTCGTAAAGCCCAGCATAATTGTATAGAACTCCACGAATATGGACATGACTTTGAAGTCCACCTCCTGCCTGGATTGCGGCTTAAACGGATAATAGTGCGGCACTATCCAGGTGACCTTTTGGCCCTTGATCTCAGCCTGGAAGTAGTAGCCTTTGATAGATATGAACACCTTGCGCAGCGACTTGGAAGCAATGACATAATGCAAAAATTCGATGGTCAATCGACGGCAAAGATTCGACTGCTCGCGCGGTATTAAGTGCAAGGACGGAAATGTGCTGAACAGAAAGAGTAAAGTGAGACAGTCATCGAGATCCTTGAGCGCATCAATGAATGTCGGATAGCGTTCCTTCACAATGTGATCAAGTTTGATTTCGGGGAACAAGGCCAAACGACGCTTCAGATTGCGAAAGTCCTTAATAGCGCGATCCCGACCCGATTTCTTAGCAAAGATCTGTGAAGGTGAGATTGGGATTATTGGTGAAGCCCAATGAATCAAATATCCTACATCATACCTTATAGTCACGCAGCGTCCACACTATGGGCTCGTGCAGCAGGAATCGTATGTCCTTGGTGTGGTACAATATCTTTATCTCTGAGGAGCCTTTCTGTGCACGTCTTCGATGCTTTGGCTCGCGTGGATAAACTCCCTTCAAAATACACAAACGGCGAAAGTCGTTCAGCGACAGCTGCAGCTTGCGCAGTGCTGCGCGCCGGCTTATATATTGTGTGGCCTCACCGGCTTCGTACTGCAAATAAAATCAATTTAAATTGTGGAAAACTCAGAGTCTATGCATAATATTCCGGTTAAAAAATAACCTCGCAATCGCAACAAATTGCGTCTTTTGGTTACTATGTTAACATACCTTCTTGGGACGCCTCATTGTGAAAGTCTTGCAGTGCAGCAGTTACTTATGTGAAAAAGAATAAATTTTTCTGAACTGCTCTGTTCCAAAATGTTTTATTTTATTAAGAACACGCAGCGTAGCCAAAACACACGTTTTTGTGTTGTTGGTCGCGTGGAAAGGAACGATGGGACCGTTCGCTAAAAACGGAAAATCTCAATAGCTGGCATTCACAGGGCACGTGTACACGAGCATGGGCAGCACTGTCCACCAGCTGATGTAATTAAATAGTAACAGCAATAATAAAGACGCGCTTCCATTTAATGGGTAACACTGGCTGCTAGTGTTGCCACACTCATAAAATCACTATTGCAATGCGCCGTGAATTCAAACAACGATATTGTGCCTTTTCGATAACTCGTTTTATTGAATCTGTTTTTATTGTTTTTATAGGTAGGTATTGTATTGAGAAAATAACATACAGTCTAAGTTTGTTGTATTATATAATATTTGTTATATATTAGTTAGTTTGAACATTAACTTTATATATTTTTTTGTTGTGTATGTGTTTGTGTATTTTGTTGTTTGTTGCAATATGCAGAATGCAAGATTAAACGATCTTGGTATACGTTAATTCGCGGCCCTGCGACATCGTGGCTATGTAACGGTATTTCACATTGCTGCATCCTGGTATGTGTATGTGTGAGAGTGAGTGTTTTTGTGTAAGTGTGTCTATTAAGCGTTACGATTCAAATGTATCTGAGTGTGATTTTTTGTATATTTCACCTAAATAACTAGTTAACATTGTATTTATTAGCTTCGTTTTGATTTACATAAGTGTCGTTCCCTCTTTTCATCGAAATGCGTTTTTCTATATAAACGTTTTTACTTTCTGTCATAATTATGTTACTCGCTTATTTTGCGTGCCAGCCCATGCTCAAGTACACATACATACATACATACATATATATATGCATATATATATTTCTATATATATCGAAATTGACTATTTATTTGATTTGCTTCTAGTCCATGCGGTATTTGCTTTTAATGATGAGCTCTGATTTGATGTCCGGGAGGGGGAGGAGTGATAGTGATTGTGTTTTGTATAAAATCTAAATGTTTCCATTAAATATATACGTATTTAAATATATTTATATATATGTATATCCATATACTTCTATAAAGTAAATAACATTCTGTATTATAGCTGAATCGCTGTATTATTTGCAACTTTTTTATTTTAAAGTAAAGCCGAATTTATATGTTCAGCAAGTTTAGGGATTCCCGGGTTTTACTTTAACTTTAACTTTCATTTTTAATTTTTAATTTTTTTATTTTTACATTTCTGTTTTCTGTTTTCGCTTTTTGTTCATTTTATTCCAATGGCTTCATCACGTTCGTTTGACTCGTTTACAGCAGCGATCCGTAAGATCTGCATTCTGTGTTTTTGTAAGGCTTATATTATACAAATACAACAACAAATCGGGCATACGAAATAACCATATGATTAATGTTGTCACAAACAATACAATAAAAAATAAAAAATTAAAAACTATTTTCGTTTATTGCAAGATTCGTTTTTATATATGTATATGAACTGTAATTTACTAAATATTCTGTTTGTGAGTGTTGTGTGTCTTTGACTGTCTGTGTGTTGTGTGTTTTTGTGTGCGTATTTGTATGTATTTATATAAATTATTTGTACAATCTTATGTGCTAAAAGCGTATCAGTTATTAAAATTAATTTTCTTACTTTTTTGTTTTCCGATTTTCCTTTTTATACTTTTTCGTTTATCTGTGGTATTTTCTTAATACTCTCTCATATATAGATGTATATGTGTGTGT